TTTTTAAAACCCTGTAAACTACATGTGCACTTCTAGTTCTTGAAAACTTGCACAAGTCATAACACTTTGCTTTCTCCTTTTCTCTACCAGAGATGGTTAATCTAACAACCCGTCTTTGCTGGAAGCTTGTGAAGAAGGAAGGTTATATTGCAATATGGCAGAAGCCTTTAAACAACAGTTGCTATTTAAGCCGCGAAGAAGGAACCCAACTGCCGTTTTGTGATCCACAGGATGATCCAGACAATGTTTGGTGAGGATTATATTGGTTATGCTTATCTAAGTTTTTATTTTTTCCCATCAACATTGTCAAATTTATCTCCCTCTTCGCAGTTGTCCTGATTTTGGTCCTCCATTTGTAACGCATATGCTAATTTGTATTGTTTTGCACTTAGTAGAAAAAGTAATTGGATGCAGTTCCTCTTTTTTCATCCAATGCCTCAGCCAGTTGTTGAGTTTCTTACTAATGTACCAATCAACTTACTAGTTCTTTAGCAAGGGTTTACTTTTACAGTCATAGCATATTAATTTTTTCTTATTGGCTCGTGATGCCTTTTAGTATTAGCAGTGTTGTAAATTGAAAAGAAATCATCCTTGCATATAGGTTCGAGATTGATCTGAACCAGATCTTTGGCATAGAAAAGGGGTGAACATCTGTGCAGCAATTGTGCCTGATCAAAGCTGCATTCAATAGATGCAATTTACTTGATTATCAAAAAACTGTACATTCTTGAGATTGGGGAGAGAAAAATAGAGTTTGAATTAGTACAAGCACGGGCACCATGACTATAATGCATGATTTTTTATTTTATTTGTTGGGTTTGGGGGGGGGAAGTCATGGCCCCTGAAAACGATATTTTAGAAATACCTTTACGTGTACACATATATGGTCTACGGAGTATATGGAACTTCCTATTGGTGCTCCTCACCCAAAACAGAATAAAGGAATAAAAAGATTTGAGTTTCCTCATCGTCAATTGGGGCTTTTGATCTGTTGTGCATGTGCAGAGAGATGGAGAAAATATACATTATAAATATACTACTAATAAGACCATAGGAGGAGTTATTTGGATGAAACGCTTTGGTGAAGTCATGCAACCCGTTGTATTGCTGTCACCCATCTAACTAGAAACGAGAAAAAGTTAGAGAAATCATTGCACTGAGATGTAGTTATTTGTTCAATCTTCTTTCCCTGATCCTGTACCTTTGTTTTAGATTAAAAATTATTCCCTCATGTCCATTTTGCTTGCCAGTTCTTGCTTAGTGAAAATCAATTTGACCGATTATTGGGCTAAATTGGACGTAGATTATGTTTATGAAAAGAAAATTCAGATATCAGCGACTTTCTAAAATAAAATGTTGGTCACAACTCTTTTCCATGTGAAGATGATGGAAGAATACATTTAATATGATGCAAAATTACTTTGTTCGACTCCCGAGAAGCAAAATTTACGACCATTTTAAAACATAGAGATTTGTATCTAAAAATGTTGTCACACTTAGACTAGCTGATTGCTAACACATTGTCTTCTGCCACTTACCAGTGGATGAATTTTTCCAATATCTTTAGAAGTAATTGATGTATGGTGTCTTTTGGTTCGGGATGCCCCCTATTGTTTTGTGCCACATACCGATGGAGTTTTAGTAACTTGCGTGGAGATCAATGCTTCAGTCTTTCCATGTTCGCTGAGTCCTTTTTAGTGGGAAGGACAAGTTCTTTCCCGAGAGGGAACACAGCAATTAGTAATATTATGTAGGCTGTGGAAAACATTAGTTAAGCAACATTAGAAGTTATTTTTATTTGCTCTAAAGATCACCACAGTGGTGTTGGCATACATTATCATCACAAGCACTTCTGCATATGACTATACCATATCTTATTGCAGAATGAGAAATTATATTTTTTGCATCTATCTCATCTCATATAGTGCTCAGTATACAACTGAAATCGGGACCTTTGTTCTTTAGGACATCCTTATTAAAACTCGCCTAGGAATTTTCTGTTGGCCCATATGATTGGAATAGACTAAATAGAATTGATGTCCGTAGGTGGTGCTTTCCATTGTGGAGTACCCATTAGATTCAACTTATTCTCAAAATGTGAGTTAATTCAGGGCATGTCTGTTAAATCAAAAATGATAATTACTCTTTAATCTAACTGTCTTTTGTTTGCCTTTTCTTTTCCAAGTTATAAAAATGGAGTTAACTTGCACTGTTAGCAGCTTGTAGCCAATTAGTCAGCATAGAAAGGTACTGCCATCTATAAAATAGCAACTTATTTTCTAATAGATGGTTGTTGAAAATTCTTAGGGCATTTACTAAGTTTGAGCGTCTCCGACAGTAACTGATTCAAAAGATTGCAGTACCTAATATTAGTGAACTGATTCAAAAGCTTGTGAATACCTTGTAGTCGCATGATTCATTTTCTGTTCATGCTTTTCTTTCATTCTAGCCCTTTATGACTTTTTTGCAAAATCACTTTTAGGTATGTTGATCTGAAAGCTTGTATTACGAGACTACCAGAAGAAGGATATGGTGCAAATATTACCACATGGCCTTCACGCCTTCACGATCCACCAGAGAGGCTCCAGAGCATACAACTTGATGCATATATATCTAGAAAAGAGCTTTTCAGGGCAGAGTCAAGATTCTGGAAAGAAATAATTGAAAGTTATGTCCGTGCCTTGCACTGGAAGAACTTCAAACTTAGAAATGTGTTGGATATGCGAGCTGGTTTTGGAGGGTATTTGTTCCATCTCTATTGTTTTCCTCTTTGTGGTTATTCACTTTAATGCATTTGCGTAAAACTGTTCTTCTAAAGTTTTAGGAAAGAATGCCTATCAATTGCCTTCTTGTCAGATTTGCAGCAGCATTGATTGAAAATCAACTGGATTGCTGGGTTCTAAATGTTGTCCCTGTTAGTGGCCAAAATACCTTACCCATCATATATGACCGTGGACTACTTGGAGTCATGCATGACTGGTAAGAATTGCTCATCTTGTACTTAGTCTATATTTTTCGTGCTTATAGGTACAGCGTATCCTTATATTGTAATAATTTCATTGAGCCATGCAATTCTTTGTCTCTAGTCTCTACACATTCCCAACACCACTATGATTTGAGAGGAAGGGGAAAATAAAAAGATGAAAAAGGAAAGGATGCTCGCTGAGTGATTTTGTAGTAACATCCTCCATCCTATGAGATACAGTATTCTGGCTTATAGTACATGCAAATCTTTAGGCATTTCTTTGGAAAAGTAGGTGGGAGGAAATGCAAATTTGGATGTTCTGTTTTTTATCTGTGATATCTCGAGGCAGAAAGATCTGGCTGGATACATATAAATCGCTGTGCCATTTTCCAGGTGTGAACCATTTGATACTTACCCAAGAACCTATGACTTATTGCATGCACATGGTCTCTTCTCCATTGAAAGGAAAAGGTACACTATTAACCTTTTTAAAATTTGCTCCAATATAATATTGTGGTCCGACTCCAAGTTCATGGGGTCTCACTGTAGTGAAGTTGGGCTTTCTTTAGAGTAGCATATTAAGAACATGTTGCCATGACTCTGTTTGATTTTGGTGTTTCAGATGCAACACATCCGCAATCATGCTTGAAATGGATCGGTTATTAAGACCTGGTGGACGGATATACATCCGTGATTCTCTTGCTGTTATGGATGAACTTCAGGAAGTTGGAAAAGCCATGGGTTGGCACGTATCTCTGAGGGACACATCTGAGGGTCCTCATGCAAGTTACAGGATTTTGACATGTGACAAACGTCTTTTACGAGCCTGAGTTGATGGTTGAAAGGGGAAATCAAACAATATGTCTGGTCATGCGCTTTCACTGGAAGAACAGGAAACAGTATGTAAAGTTTAGGGACTAACTGCTCAACTCCATTAATATATAGTGATGTGGATAGACTGATTATTCAGAGCTTCATCGTTCTGCAATAAATGGAGCTGAAGGGGATGGCTGCCCTACGTAACACATGCTGTTTTTAGAACCACGTAGCCTAAATGAGGCAGTTCATGTGCAGCTAGCCCACACTGGTGAAAACATTTTTTGGTTTGCATTCAAAGAAATTTACTCTCCAGTTATCAATTTTTTTCATTTACTTTCATTTTTATTATGATAGGCACAGAAGTTACTTGCATCATTGTATTGATAATGCCACCATCTCTTTCCAGTCATTGCTTTTGCAGCTCGTAATTGCAATGATGAATATGTATCCAGCTCTAAATTCACTTGTAGCAGATGTACTGAAGTTAGATTAATCTGAAGGAGCAACATGTTTGTGTTGACCAATATTATAACCTCTGCTGAAGAATGCACCTTTCTATGTTTGATGGTACACAACAGATAATTTTGTGTTTTCCCCCGTGCATCAAGGTTTCCTGACTGTAGCATGTTTATATATTTTTCTAGTAAACCACTCTTGCTAGTTTGTTATCAATTCGTGGAAAAGGCCACAGGAACTCGTTTGCCAAATTTTTTTGCTCTCCCTTGTTTGAGTCTTGTAATTGTTAAATTGAAAAAAGTTGTGTATACCCACAACCGTCATGAGACAACAGCGTGTGTTCTACAAATTGATAAATTCAGGGATTCTGTGGTACTCAGATTAGAGGCTGTAGGACAAGTGTTGATAGGACATCGAACTATTCTTTTACTTTTATAGGTACATCTAAATCTAATACCAAGAGAAGACATTGTTGAGAGTAGTGTATTTAACATATTGTGCAAATCTTAACTTCAGTCCCCTTTCAATGTCGATAATTCAAACTAAGGTTAAAGTTAAAATAAATTTATCTAGTTGCAAAGCGAACTTGGTACTGTATTAGACTCTGTTAACCTACGGTTCAGTACTTCACGAAATACCCTGCTATAATCTATGTATGATTTTGATCTTACTTAATGATATATTTACTATTTGATCATTATACAATAGACTACCACCATAATAATTTCAAGCAGGCCAGGGGAAAGGTGGGAAGGGCGTTGGAACACCTCTAAGAGAATATATCATTATATCTCAAGTATTGTGCATAGGCATCTTCCATCACTAGTGCTGGAATTATAGCACATGGCAACATGTATTATCAATTTTTTTTTTCATGTATCGTTCCAATTCTATCGGATGTCCCCTCGAAGGGACAATTGTCTTTTTCTCTAAAACTGGCAAAAGAATCATTAATCTCTCTGGACCAAGCCATCATTTTACCCTAACAAAACAAAAATAGTACGCACTTGAAAGGACACTTAGTTTCAGCAGCACGCGTCAAATTCACGTCCCTATCTGTCAGATTTTGGCCTCCATATTGGCTGTGTTTGAACACGATTAGCCTGGGTGGGTCTCTGCGCCGACGAATTCTGATTCCTGTCCAACCTTTTGTCCTGAAGCCGATGTGCTTGAAATGGTGGATATATGGGTCTCTGTCCCTGAAGCTGATGTGGTGCTTGGATAGGTGGCTGCATAGTTCTCTGTCCCTGAAGCTGATGTGGTGCTTGGATAGGTGGCTGTATAGTTCTCTGTGCTGCTTGGATTGGTGTCTGTACAGTTCTCTGTGCTGCTTGGATTGGTGGCTGTACAGCTCTCTGTGCATGAAGCTGATGTTGTGCTCGCATCGGTGGCGGTATAGCTCTCTGTGCCTGAAGCTGATGTTGTACTTGTCGTGGTGGCTTTATAGCTCTCTGCGCCTGCACTTGCGGCCTAAGGCCATTTCTACTGTAGTTATTTTGGTTTCCAGTAGGAGTTCTTGCCACAGACTTTGATACATGTGGCTTAACAAGAGTAGAAATAACTTCATTCTGATTTTGATTCGAAGAAATAAGCATAAAGTGGGTCCTCCTGAATACTTCTTCTATTCTTGTTAGTTGTTTACTGCTTACACCCCTCGCTGCATTAACTGGCTGCTCAAAGGGATCCTCAACCTGGATATATAGAAACTTGAATGTCAAAAATATAAAAAAAAAAATCAAAATCAAAAAGGCCTAGACCTGCTGTTTATCCTTTTCTTTTGCTTCTTAAGGTGGGTGCATGATGGGAAAAAAGGGTGTGGGCGCATGGGATGTGTGTGTGTGTGTGTGTGAGAGAGAGAGAGAGAGAGAGAGAGAGAGAGAGGTTTTACAAATATTGTGTATGTCTTAGGCAGCCATCTCATGTTGCCCTCAATGTCTTCCCACTGGCCAGTGAATGTGCTAATTCCTTGAGCAGAGGCTTTTGAGCTGATGTCGCAGAACTATATAGAGGATCACAGTTAATTTTTCTTGCAACATTGTTAAGTTTCAAGGTTGTAATAAATATCCATAGAAAGAAAATATCAAAATAGTCCACAGGTTCAACATCATATGACAATCATGACAGACAATAGAGCCTTGGACAACTTGCTACCTTTGCAATGAATGAGATGAAAAGCTCAGACAAAGAACTCTTATTAAACGCTCGTGACTTTTTTGACATAAGTTGATTTATATTTGTAGCACATGTTTCTTCAATGAACTTCTCAGCACTAGCCCTAACACCTGCAAAAGCATTTTCCAATAGACTGGTTGAACATTAGGCGTTTAGTTATATAGGTCTAAAACAGAGAATAGGGAGAAGGTAGTGGTAGTAAGACAGATGAGTCAGCCATAGCAGTCCTTGTGTATAAACCAAGTAATATGTGTTTGGACTTCCTACTTGTCCATTTTAATCTGGTACCTGGTATTCACAAATGAATTTAACAGTTGCCACCCATGCATTTGACAACCCATTGCAGTAGTAAACTATTCCTCTCATACTTCCTAAGCATTATGTTTTAGAAAACACAGGAGTGCAACCTTGTGTAATTATAGTTCTGAGTGCTGCCCCCCGCCCTTGAAACCCAGAAAAGTTCTGCTTAATGTAAATCTATGGAGCACAAAGTCATAAAAGCAAGTAACAAGCATCTCAAGTACCTCAAAGAACTACTCTCTCCCCTTTCATTTTATGACAAGGTATTTAAATGGAAATAGAGTTTTATATATATCAACACAATGTTTAAACTTTAAACAGTTTAATGAATTCGAATTCTTGAAAGTTGTAAGTGTTTCATAGAAATGCAATGGTGTCAGACATTTCGGAATGTCCAAAATGAAAACTGTCATATTAATATGAACAGACAAAGTATAAAGCAAAACATTGCAGAAATAAGCATCAGCAGGAACAAAGAAACTAAATTACTACTTCTGATTGCCCCCAGGCTTCGGTTTAGTGGTAATAGCGCATCTCAAAAAGTGTGGGCAAGGCACATGTCACATATTTGAACCCTGCCACAGAGAAAAGCCTAGTGATTAAGTGAAAAAGGGTAGAAGAATGCGCCAATTATCCACTGAATTTTGAACCATGCACCACTAGCCCTTGTGGATTTCTCGGTTACAAAAAAAGAAGGCAAAATATATAGACAAACACTCAAACTTGGCCCCAACTGTCAGTTTGATACTTAAGCTAACTCAATGATCAAGTAGACACTTCAACTTGACAAGTGTCTCGTGGACACCTGAGTCCAGCAGACTTCACGCGTGAAGTCCAATCACAGGTGACGTGTCAAATGGACAGATTAGCGAAAGGCACGTATATGTTGCGGAAGATCGTGGGTTAACTAGCACACAATCATAGACAAAGCAAATAGAGAAGAAAATAATAACACAAAGATTTAACGAGGTTCGGCTAATCCTAATCCTTAGGGCAAATGCAGAAAGAGTTTTTCACTATGAATGAGAAGGAAAACACAATACAATCTATAGAATTTCCAACTACAACCCCTATATACATATCCCAAATGGTCCCAAACCTATAAGAGAAAGGTTTCCTAATCCGACAAGAACAATAAGTTTTCCTTTCCCCAATCTATTAGAACAATGGGTTTTCCAAACCTTTAGGGATAATGAGTTTCCTAAAAATATAAGGAAATAATTCAAGCCGCAAATAACAAATGTTCCTCTTGGTTGAATTCTCTTCATCAGCAGGAGCATCTCTCTACCTTGTCCTCAACCCTCGCGAGGGCTCTATTGAGTACTGCACACACCAATCAAGTCTAGGCAATGCCTAAACTTGTTAAGGGACCCTATCTCTTTAACTATAGCACAAATTTGTCGATTTGGTTCTGTACTAGAAATAGTCTATTACACTCAAACGCATCAATGATCTCTGCAACTGCCGAAGCAAATCCCACTGGATTCGCATATCCAAGATGATTCCCATCAACTACGTTTGCAAAATTTTGCGGTCGGTTGATCACACTTTTCTCTCTACATGTTGCAATGCTATGGTTGATGTTGCACACGTGCATTAATATTATCATCTCGATCAATATTTTGCACCTCCTCTACTTCCTCTACTTTAGAACTACTAGGCTGAGCTAGTAGAGATTCAATTTCTAGCTCTATGCGGTCGCTGACACCACGATCTGTTTCTGCTATTGCCTTCTCCCTCTAACTGTCCAATGAGGCAGATTCATTGAATGTCACATCCCTAGTAATAATTAACCCCGGAGTCTTTTGATCTGTGCACCACAACCTATAACTTTTCACTCCATTTGCATACCCAAGAAATATACACTTTTTTGCCCTCGGCTCAAGTTTTTCATCCCTCATATGAGCATAAGCAAGACAACCAAATATCCTCAAATTTTAATAATCAACAGGCGAACCAGACCATACCTCAAAAGGAGTTTTGAGCTCAATAGCTGTGGATGGAGATCTGTTGACAAAATAACAAGCCATATTGATTGCTTCAGTCTTGCTAACACATGAGTGTGAAAGCATGCTTCGTGCATTATCACAAAGCTTTTCTGTTAATACGTTATGCAACACCACTTGTTGTGGTGTTCTGACACAAGTGCGGTGTCTCACTATGCCCTCTATTGTATAAATTATCGAACTCAAAATTGCAAAATTCCAACCAATTATCAATCCGAAGACGCTTAACTTTTCTTTCCGTCTGCCTCTCAACCATCATCTTCCATTTAACAAATATCGAAAATGCCTCATCTTTTGTTTTCAGAAAATACACCCACACCATCCTTGAGGAATCATCAATCAAAGTCATAAAATACCTGGCACCACTCTTGGAGGGAACTCTATTTTGACCCCACAAGTTTGAATGTATATAATATAACTTGTCTCTAGCCTTGTGTTCTGCCTTCTTGCTGAATTTTACCATTATTGTTTGTTTACCAAACACACAATGCTCACAAAAATTCAAAACTCGATTTTTGTACCCATCCAGGAAATCGTGCTTACTCAACAAAGATAATCCCTTGTCACTCATATGACCAAGTCGCAAGTGCCACATCTGAGACAGATTCAGATCACTTTTTTCCAGAAGCTACAACAGCTTCCCCTCCAACTACACCGGCCTGAAGATGATACAATTGAGAATGTAGTTTACCTTTCATGAGTACCATGGAGCTTTTACACACTTCAAGTATTCCATTCTCGGAGTAGAACTTATATCCTTGATCATCCAAAGTCGAAAGGGAAATCAAATTTCTCTTTATCCGAGGAACATGCCAACACTCAATGTTTCTGATAATTCCATTGAACATTCTCAATCTGATGTTACCAATCCCCTCTACTGGTAATGGATTATCATCTCCCATGTAGACAATCTCACCCATCTGCTTGTAAGTTGCAAAGCAATTTTGGTGTGGACACATGTGGAAAGTAGCCCCAGAATTAAGAACCTAGGAATTCTGCCCATGACTAGAATCCACTGCATAGTCATTATCATCAGAATTATTGGAAGTGTCAAAAATATTTGCCGAATTATCTATTTTTTGCTTCCCTCTTTTCTCTTTCAGCTAAGGACAATCTCTCTTATAGGACCTTGCTCCCCGCACTCATAACAGTTCTGATTCCTTGCTTTAGACTTTGATCTGGTGATTGACTTTTTCCTGTTAAAGTCCTTTTGTTGTGTTCTTCCTCTACTCACAAGATTCTCGCCCTCATTTTTGTTGTCTGGAAAGCTCTTTTTCAACTTTTTAGATTTTAGTGCATTACTAACATTGTCCAATGAAACACTGTTTTTCCCATATAGCAACGTATCGGCAAAAGTATCATAAGACGGTGGTAAACATAACACAATCAAGGCTTGATCCTTACTCTCAATTTTGATATTTGCATTCTTCAAGTCCATTATAATCTATACTATATTAAAAGCACGAAGGCCCTTAGCGAAATGTCGTTCGCCTTTTTTACCCTTTAAAAATAAAGTTCACACTAGATAAAATAGTCATTTAATTATTCTTTTAATATTTAAGATTATAAAATTAACTAAAATTTGAGTTATTAAAGTTTTCCTTATTAGAAGTTGGTAATATACCAGATTTGTAAAAGGAAAATAATAACACGTTAGTTTTCCTTATTACAATAAATCACGTTAGTTTCCTGTTAGGAAACTTTGGAGCACTTTGAGCTCCTTTTAGGTTTAGGAGTTTTTTGTTTGTTATTAAATTTTAACCAATTAATTATTTATAAATATTTTATTTAAAACTTTCAATTCAAATTATCATTTTTGGTTTACAATTCATAATTAATGTAATGTCGTTGGATAAAAAAAGGCAGAAGAATTAGATTCTATAGGTTTAGGATTCAACAATTAATCTAGAATATAAAACTAAAATAATTCAGAAGTAGGAGTTGAATACTTTTATAAAAGAGCAAGCATTTATTATTCTTGTAGTAAACTTTTAATAGTATCATTATTTGGAGTTGCTTGTGATTTTAGGTAAATTTTCTAACCTTTAGTTTTTTCTTGAAGTTATATAATAACATATGTATGTTTATTTTTGATAGACAATTGTGAATTAAAAAGTTGTCAATTGTGATTTTTGTTTAACATATCTCATATACTTTTATCAGTTTAAAGGTTGGCGTATTTATAAATTTTACAGAGATTGTTAGAGTAATTGCATTCTGTAACAAAAAAATGATTAGGCATTCTAGCTCTCAATTAAAGATCTTATTAATAATCGTCTTAATTGAAGAATATAGATTGGCAATTGACGTCCTTACATCTAGCCAATTATTTTACAAATTCATCCATTTAGGCAAATAATTTTCATTATCTCATGAAAAATTATTATTCCCGTTTGGACTATTTCCCATTCGTCATCATAACTATTTCACGGAATATTAATTTTAAGGTGTGGTGCAAGATTTTGTTGTCTTACTTATAATATAAAAGTTTGCTAATTAATATAATTACCTTGCGCACGAAAATAATTTATAAATTGTGTTTTGAAAGTTCTATCCCATTTATTAAATTTAGACAACAATAAATAAACTACTTATAATTTTTTTTATGTATATTGTGTCGTTAGGAAATAAAATTTTCTAATATGCTCAATCCTTATTTTTAGTTCAATTGTTTTTTAATCTATATTTGATATTAATATGTAAATCTGTAAATAAACTTTTGTTTGGTATTATAAAAAAATCTATAAATAAATTGCACTTAAATATCGGGTAAACTTTGAAGAATAATGGGGTATATTGTCCAACTCATGTGAACTAATTACTGTATATTGTAATGTTGATGTATAAACTAATAAATTTTCCTAAATGTTTAATTCTTATTATGAGGTGAAAAACAATTACTTATTATGAGTTCAAGTCTATATTCAAAATTTATTTTTTGTTCAATATTCTATGCACTTTTATTGATAGACGCAAAATTCATGTGCGACGCACGTATACTAAAATTAGTTGAATTAAACTCACCAAGGTGAGTTTTAACAGGTGTACCTTTGTTCATACGGAGATTGTATACCCTCTTTTTCAGGTAGAGGAGGTTTGTCAGCGATTTCTTAGAATACAGATCTTCCAGCTTCTTCCATGTTGTTGCCGCAGAAATTTCTTCAACACTCATTAAGATTGCACTCAAAGCTCTTTCCTTCAGGTCTGCCTTTTGTCTCTTTCATCTGTTCAGGAAATCCTCATCAATTGACTTCCATAACCCTTGTAACACCAGGGACGATTTCATCCTAATCTTCCATAGACTGAAACTAGAACCCCCATTGAATTTTTCTACTTCGCACTTTGTTGAAGATGAAGAAGACATCTTAACCCTTGATTATATATAGAAACTTGAACCTTGCTCTGATACCGATTGTTGCGGAAGATCGTACGTTAACTAACACACAATCACACACAAAGCAAATAGAGAAGAAAACAATAACACAAAGATTTAACGAGGTTCGGCTAAGTCTAATCCTCGGGGCAAAAGTAGGGGATTTTCCACTACGAATGAGAAGAAAAGCACAATAGATGGATCCCAAATGGTCCCAGACCTATAAGAGAAAGGTTTCCCAATCCGACAAGGACAATAAGTTTTTCTTTCCCAAATATATTGGAACAATGAGTTTTACCAAACCTATAGGGATTAAGGGTTTCCTAAAAATACAAGAAAATACTTCAAGCCACAAATAACATATATTTTTAAAATAAATTAATTAATTTTTAAGTAACTTTTTTTTATTTAAAATAGAAAAATCCTCCCATCCACCCTTTCTTCCTCAGCCATTTTCACCCACAAATCACCATTATTGACCACCAATTAATCGGTTCTCCCCTCTCCATCTCAAGCACCACCCTCTTTTCTGTCCAACCATTCCTTCAATATCTCTTTTGTGATTGGAATGCAAATTAGTAGAGAAAGGAATTGATTTATTAGTTCAATTTCATAGAATCAATGTCTTTATTTCTTGCGTTCTTTAAAGTCTGTAAAATGGGAGAGATAATAAAAATGGGAGAAATCCAAGATGCGTTTCTCGTTAGCGATGATTTCTGGCCAAAAAAGTATATCAAGCGGCAGAGATTTGAGAAGATAGATTTTGAGAAAAGAAAAAACGAATGAAACAAAAGGTAAGAAAATGAAACAAAAGGTCTGGGATTGCTGGCTAGCATAGGGTTGTTGGACCTTCACCAAACGAATTGCAAGAGTAACAATAATAGACAATGAAGGCAAGGAATGGATGTGAGTGTCAAGAGAAAAGAATAAAATATGGAGAAGGATGGGAGAGGGGCATTACAAATGAAATAGAGGTAGATTATAACAGTAAAATGGAATTTTGCTATACTTTTTCAGGTGGAAATGAGTTGGAATAACATCTCACGCTCTCAAATGTGAAGACAACCACACAGTGCCAGGTCAGATCCGAGTGTCCAGGAGACATACCTGTGTCAAGTTGAAAGGTTTACTTGATCATTGGATAAGTTTAAATGTCAAACCAACAGTTGCGGCAAAGTTTGAGTGACTATCTATGTATTTTGCCTAAAAAATTAACTACTTCTAATTGAAAATGGAGAAACACCTGTTGTTCTAAACAAAGTCATCATATGTATCACTGTTAAATTGCTAAAAAAGCAAAGAGTAGAGAGTCTTTATACTATGGCCAAAATTACTTTTCCACTTATTTAATCTATTTTTTGTTCCTCCCTTTCAATTAACAGTTCGTACCGATGCCTTCGATCTTGTCATCCCGATGGGGCTGCTCAAAAAGAGCTGTCTATACATAAAGGAAAAGTTATACTGAATAATATATTCATATGTATGTACCTGAGCCTTTACCAGTCCAGCATAATCAGTACCATTAACCTGAATTAACAATTATAGCAGCTCTATTAAACCCCATAAACGTGCAAGATGCACTTTTGTTTTCATATTCTTTTATTTTTGCTTTAATTATTCGGCACTTGCTTCTAACTTAGCTTGATTATCTCAATTGCAGAGACCTCGAATTAAAGTCCACTAACAGACATAACAACATTCAGGATTTTCTAGACAACCTAATTCACCTCCTTGTTGAATTAGGACTTTTTCCTTCTTTTCCTCTTTCACATGCCTGCCCAAATAACTAACTACTTAAATCAGGAGAAGTTAATAAAATCAGGGAATTCCTCCCACATTTTCCTCCGATAATCTCATCGCACTGAAATCCCCTCTTAACATCTATGGTACCTTCCATACCAACATCAGCCTAGATCTCTTCCTAAAACCTTTTTTGTAACCCCTTCTACTGGCACATAAATTTCCACAAAATCCCATTTAATTTGTATTTCCATGTTTTTAAATATTCTGAGCAATGGAGAACTTCCACTCTTTCTCATATGTCGGAGCTTCAACTTCCTCTCACATAACACCACAATCCCTCCAACTTTCCTTCTAGTCGGAACCATATCATTTCTTCCCCGACTTCCTTCCCCAAGCTTCTAATCATTAACTTTGGAATTTCTTCCATTTTTAGTTTGGCGGTGACAAATGTTGATCTTCACTCCCTCAACCAACAACCTCGATGCTCCTCTATACGGGTCATTCATCTCCCTCACAAAGCCTCACGCTTAATAGTATTTGTTCCGCGACTTGCTTTTGATGTCTTCTCCATGACAAAAGCTTGTCATATGGCCAAATTTTGGAAAAGAAAAAATTTATCTTAACCTCCATAAGGTAAACTCCTTACACTTTCTCCCCTCCACCTCCTCTCTCCTCCTTCCCTGTGCTTCCCTTGTGATTCATAATTGATAGAGTACTTCAAACTCTTTAAATTCCTCACCTTTTTTTTACCTCTCCCATCTCCTTCTCACTACTGATTATTGCCATTCTTAATCTATCTCGTCTGAAGAGTGTATACTTCAATTGACGATAATCTTCACTTAGTATCTTTAAACTATTATGGACGCATTGGAACAATATTTGGAAAATGTTTATTGAAATTTTTTTGGAAATAAAAAGGAAACATGTGACTAGTTAGTTACAATCTTTTTGAGGATTTGTGAGTGGAAGAACTTTTCGTTTAAAAATGTCCTACAACTTCTTCAAACCCGGTTTTTTGGGAAGTCTTGCAAAAACTTCTTAATAAAACTTAAACAAAGACACTTTTTTATGACCGAGAAACGGGTCTGGAGACGACCCTTTAAACAACAAAGTCATTTGGCAACAAATTTTGCAACTTTTGGTTTAAATAAAAGATAGAAGCTCCACAAGCAAATGCCACCTAATTTCTTTGCGCAGATAACCACTATATAACTGGAAGTGAAGAGCTCATGCCCCAACAACATAACAGTAAATTTGACGCAGAAAGATGCACCAGCTTATTCAAACATCAATAACAAACAATCATTTAAGTACCTGTAAGATCATCAACCATATTTCCTGGATATATTTCTTTAAGAGGTGGTAAAATTGCAGGTACACATGTCTGCAAAAAGAAGTAGGCTAACTAAGACCAGGGGAAAAGAAAAAGTTGTTATTTATAAAAGAGGAGAGAAATTTAATAGAACTGCAACAGTCTTAAAAAAGGAACATGACTAAGTAACAACATTGTAAACATTCAGGTCCAGATAAGTTGGTATCAACGGTGGTTGAAAATTAGACATCCAGGTAACATTACCTATGTTTTCCTTCTTTTCCTTTTCCAGCCTATCTTTTTATTTCACTATTCACTTACTTATGAGCCAATCATTTGATGGGGGTAACTTTGCTTAACAGTTTTCCCTGAAAATCACCCATCTCTGACAGGTATTTTCTGAGTCCTACTATCTGATTGGAGTCCACTTCTTTTCTATTATCTTCTTCCCAATACTTCCACTTCTTTTTTTAACTCTTCTTCCAAATGCTTCCTCACTTTTTTTTTAAGTATAAAAATGTAAAAGCTAAATGATAAAAGTATATAAAAAGCTTGTCTTTTTTACTTTTTACCCCCCTTTTCCTTCTCCAATTCTCTTGGTAAAAGAAGGATCTACAGATCATATATTTGCTTTAGATGAGATGAAATGAAATCTGTACTGTGAAATCAAGAGTTATATTACCCTATAAGCAATAGGATTCATACTCTTCAATACTTTGGGATGTGAGACTAGAAACTGCCCAAGTATAACTAATGCAACAGAAAACTACCTGAAAGTGGAACACAACTAACAAGCTGAGAGAATATGAGTTCAAAGTTCCAGCCTTCGAATCATTGATATTATGTGCCTTAGCCCATTCTTTCGCCTGCACACAAAGGAGAAATCATCGAATCGAGTCACATTATTCAAAGGTAGCCTCATTGTCTCCTATATGGGCACATACCAGTAAAACCATATCACGAAATCTTCCATCAATCATGTTGATCCAGTATAATATTTTGGACTTCATTTGGCCGCTCAAATTATTGATTGATATATCACAAGAAATATTGTAATTTCCGTGAAACTTCAAGATTGGGACTCTTGCATTGGTAATAAATTGCAGCTTTTGGCATCCACCTGTGAAGTAGCGCTAGCAATGAATTAGACCAACACACTCTAGAAAGAAACAAACAAACTAGAGTGAAGACTTCTCCAGCTTTTCTCCAACAATGCTAACAGCAGCATCCATAAAATTAAATTACAATTAAGACAAGGATAAAAACAACTAAGTTTGGCTTGGAAAATTATCAACACACTTGGATATTACACATATCGTGTTCAGGGTTTCTAGTCTGAGCAAACTTCCTTTCTACAATCCTTTATTATTTTGTTGTTGCTGCTGCTGAGATTTTGGGTTTTGTAAGCGTATTAAATGTGAGGAGGTTGATGTGGCAATACGGAAGATGAGCAGGGGTAAGGCGACTGGGCCTGACGAGATCCCGGTGAAATTTTGGAAGGAAGCGAGTAGGGCAGGCTTGGAGTGGCTTACTAGCTTGTTTAACGTCATTTGCAGGACGAAGAAGATGCCCGAAGATTGGCGGTGGAGTTTGATGATTCCGTTGTACAAAAACAAAGGTGATATCTAGAACTGCAACAACTATAGGGGTATCAAGCTATTGAGTCACACTATTAAAGTTTGGGAGAGGGTGGTGGAGAGGAGGGTGAGGACATGTGTATCTCTTTATGAGAACCGGTTCGGATTTATGCTGGGACGGTCAACTACAGAAGCCATTCACCTTGTGAGACGATGGTGGAGCAGTATAGGGAGAGGAAAAAGGACTTGCACGTGGTGTTATTGACCTTGATAAGGCCTATGACAAAGTCCCGAGGGATGTGCTATGGAGATGTTTGGAGGTTAGCGGTGTCCCATTAGCGTACGTACATTAGGGTGATTAAGGACATGTACAAAGGTACTAAGACTCGGGTGAGGACTGCGGGAGGAGACTCGGAATATTTCCTTGTGGAGATAGGGTTGCATCAGGGATCGGCCCTTAGCCCGTTTTCGTTTGCCCTAGCGTTGGATGTGCTGACACGACACATACAAGGGGGGTGCCATGGTGTATGCTATTTGTTGATGACATAGTACTGATTGACGAGAAGCGAGATGGTGTTAATGCTAGGTTGGAAGTTTGGAGACAGACGCTGGAGTCCAAAGGTTTCAAGTTAAGTAGGTCGAAAACTGAATACTTGGAGTGCAAGTTCAGTGATGGGAGGAGGCATGAAGCAGAAGTGGAAGTGAAGATTGATACTCAAGTCATTCCCAAAAGAGATAGTTTCAAGTATCCTGGGTCTATAATCCAAAGTAACAGGGAGATTGACGAGGATGTTACGCATCGCATTGGAGCGGGGTGGATGAGATGGAGGCTAGCTTCGGGGATTTTATGCGATAAGAATGTGCCGCTTAGATTTAAGGGCAAGTTCTACAGGGTAGTGGTTAGACCGACTATGTTGTATGGAGCTGAGTGTTGGCCCGTCAAGAAGTCCCATGTCCAGAAAATGAAAGTAGCTGAAATGAGGATGTTGAGATGGATGTGCGGACATACCAGGAAAGACAAGATTAGGAATGAAGTTATTAGGGACAAGGTGAGAGTGGCCTCTGTGGAGGACAAGTTGCGGGAATCGAGGTTGGGTTTGGGCATGTGAAAGGAGAGACATAGATGCCCCAGTCAGGACGTGTGAGAAGTTGACCATGGCGGGCTTGAGGAAGGGCGGAGCAGGGGTAGGCCAAAGAAGTATTAGGGAAAGATGATTAGGCAGGACATGCCATTGCTTCACCTTACCGAGGACATGACTCACGGTAGAAAGGTGTGGAGGTTGAGGATTAAGGTGGTAGGTTGACAGGTAGTTATGAGCTTCTCCTAGGTTTACCAACAGTACTAGTACTATTCTTGTATTCTTTTATTCCTGGTTCTCTATTACTTGTTATGTCACTCGCTTTCATTAGCTTATTACATTACTGTTGTTATTGCTTGTTGCTTTATTTTTATTGTTCCTTAAGCTGAGGGTCTATCGAAAACAGCCTCTCTGCCTTTATAGGGTAGGGGTAAGGGTCAACCCACTCAATATCCGAGAGAGCGTAGGCTTTTGGCGGCCACAGAGACGGCGGATAAGGCAGCGGATGATACGTACTTGGAAATAAGCAGATCATAGATAAGTTTTTTCATGCCTCGACTCTCCATCGGTTCGTTCGGAAATCATGGTAGTCTTTTCATGGAGATTATTGGGAACGGAAATGTGCCTGGGGTTAAGAACAACCTTTCACTACTAACCCCAAGAAGTTTCAACATGCTGAAACTTTTCGTTTCGTCGAGCCCCGAGCTTGTGGTCCTCCTTTGATCTTTCACNTTGGCCCTTCTGTGGGCTTTTATCGAGGAAAGCAGGCTTGATAGGGCCAAGTCTTCATTTGTAGGACTTTGATGGTTCATGTCATTCATGTAGGCTTGGGTCTTTCATTCGGGCCCTATTGGGGCACCCTGTGGGCCAATGCGTATAAGCTTGGGCTTTCTTAACGTGGCTCATTTGACGACTCAGTACATGGATGTCACGAATCTATTGGCATAGAATATGGAATCTTTTCTACGTAAGCTGGTTGTGCAAAGTTTGTTTGTTCATACAGGCAGTGTGATTTTGGGATCTTTTGTTTGCTCCGCAAGGTAGTCAAAGCCAGCCAGTTTTTCATTAAACAGGTATGATAGTCTTCAACTGCACAAAAGTTGTGCGGAGAACTAGTAAGAATTGTACCTGCCATCCAATTCTTTCGGGCCCCTCTCGATCTTTTTCTACGTTGAGAAGGGGGGTTGCGTACACACTACCCTCACAGACCCCACGTATGAGATTAAGCTGGATTTTATTTTATTGTTGTTGTAAGGTAACTTTAGTAACAAAATGTTACTCCCTCCGTTTCAATTTATGTGAACCTATTTTTTTTTTTATTCATGCCAGAAATAATGACCCCTTTCTTTATTTGAAAACAATTTACCTTTATGCAATGATTTATAGCCACACAAAATATTTGTGTTTACACCACAAGTTCAAAAGTCTTCTCTTTTTTCTTAAACTCCACGCCCAGTCAAATGGGTTCACATAAAATTGAAACAGAGGGAGTATGTCTTTTTCAAAATCCTATTACTAAGGATGTTAATGTTGAACTCATGGAAAGTTCGAAGGCATTCCATGACATAAAGATAACTCAAGTTAAATTGTCACATAAGTGAGGTACTTCAGACATGATCCAGAACTTAATTCTCAGAACATCAGTTTCCATGAGATAACAAGGAAAACAAAGCAAAGAAATGAACGCATGTACCTCAATGCATCTGTAACAATCGTATGTACAAAAAATGGATGATAGCTACTGATCTTCAATCCTACATACTAACATAGTGCTTCTCTTGTTCCTAACAAGGTTGGGTCCTGCTATGATAGAATAAGAACATCCATATCCCCCTCACCCCGCAGGAGAATAATTCTATTTACACAGTAACAGCTGGCAACTGGATAAGACATTTAAAAAGTCTGACAAAGTTATTTGAGAAAACAGACCCCACTCTTGGGATTATACTAGGCTTGTTGACTCATTTTGAGAAAAGAGGGCCACAAGTCCAGCTCCAAGCAGCAGTTGGTAGTCCTTCAGGAGCTGCTAAAGAGCTAAAATTGATATCTGACACCGATAACCATTCTTTCAGCTTGTTTGCAATAAACTGCAGCAGCTTCCTTTATTTAACAGTTCTAAGCCCTTTCCCAGTTGCCAAAGAAAAAATTTCCTATTATTTATCTTCAATTTCAGCACCCCTTAAAAATATCCCAGGCCCATCAAATGCTACGAGCATATTTGATTTTCATCGAGAAAATCTCAAACTGCTTGACCATTGATCCTTGTTACTAGTGGAGAATTTTCATAATAAAGAAAAAATTTATTTAAGCAAATCAAAGGGAATTAATCATGAGAGCATACCTTTAGCTCTCAGAGCTTTTCGTACATCCTCTAGTAGACTTAGTTTGTACTTCTTCCCAGCAGATGAGATATATGATCCATTGGGAACCTCTATGGAAATATCAAGATCTCCCCATCTTGTAAAAAGATTTGACACAAAAGATCCAAATGGCTCTACAGTTGCCCCTGGTCACAAGTAGAAGCTGAGAATAGTAAACTTTGTGATTGTTAACCAAAACAGTATCTACGTCTTCACCTTTAACGTACCAAGATGACCCAAAGAAGAGTAATTCCAGAAGAGGAACTTAGAAATTCACCAAATTAGCATCTAATTTACAGGTTAAAAATTCAGAAGACTAAATAAAGCTGTTCATCCTATTAAAATTAACCTTAACTTGCAACTATGGTCTTCCAAAGCTGAGAATAATCATTTCTAACTCCAAAATCAAAAAGGATGTAGGGATGAGCTGTTAAATTACAAGGAAAACACCGTCCATTGAGTTGTCAGTACATAGAAACACCCCCTACATGACAACCCGCAATATTGTACATCATGTTTTACCTGATTTGAGAATCAAGAAAAATCGTCTCTACAGTGACAAACAAGTAACCTAACCACGAAGTTCCACTAATCAGGATATATAACGAAGTATCACCACTTTAAATTACCTCTCAGGCTTTCTATGTTTTCAACCATGGCTCGAAGTTCATCAATGAGTTGAAATCTCATAGACCAATCCTCATCCAACGGATTGATAGCGCAAAGTATATTCCGAAGAGTATGCTCCAACGAGCTGTAGCCATTCATTTTGAGCACCAGATACCCACTTATTCTAGCTTATTAAAGATAATATATCAAACTATTCATGAAAAAATGACTACCTGCAGAAAGAAGGGATAAGAACAAGGTTTATAACAATTAGCGCAATTACTCAAGAAAAGATGATTAAGTTGAATTTTGGCGAGTATCGTGCCAGGTGAGTCTAACAGGAGAGGAATTCAGACTCATTTCATACTAAGAATGAATTATCTTTATGTGCCACGAAACAAAATTGAAGCTGCTTAAACATAAAGACAAGCCAGATAATCAAATTCTTGAATCGCAGCAAGGGGGAGAAATTCATGGTTGACTCACTGACAAGTTAACTGTTCTGTCCCTTAGATCTAAAATGTACCAGAGCAAAAAAGATTGACACCTACAAGATAAGTGCAAAACACAAAACAAATTTAAATGTAATAGCAATAAGTAATGAAGTTCTAAAAGCAGAAACCTGGGTAGGAGAACTGAAGTTTATGCTTGCACAAACAAACTCCTAGAATCTACGAAATGATACTTTTAACTCATATCCAAGTACTTGGACAATTTATTTCGACGTCCATAAATATGCACAAGAAAGTAGGACAAAGTAATCCATTAGCCTCTGCTGCTTCACTGGTATCAAATAAGTTTGTCTGCAGATTGAGGCTTGCCCTTATTTTACCAGACAACTAAAGTTGGATCAGTTGCTTTAAACTCAAAAACCATAGTTTCTTCTTATTTGATATTGATAGTTAAATAAGTTTTTAGCTCCTTATTTAAAGATTTTAGTAGCTTTTAGCATCCAAATCTTTCAGATTGGTCCGACAAGACAATAGGCTATAGATCACTCCCCATAAAATCTTTTTACCAAAATAACTTCAGGACCTCTTTCCCTTTTTATGAGTAACTGCAATGTCTAAGAAGGCTTAAAATCCATTCTATCCGACAAACTTGGTGGGTATTGTTAACCTTCCTTAGATATTTAAGAACAGTATTCTAGAAGAATTACCTGCCCAGGAAATAAAGAACCTTGAGTATAGCATTAAAAAAAAGTTAATATACCTCTGGATACAATTCACACATAATATTTTAGCAAAAGGAAAAGATGAAGAAAGCTCCAGTAAACCAACAATAATGACTTCACATTTGGGTTTATGGCCTAGGCCCTAATTGGCAACCAAATCACAGACAAATAATACACTAGAACCAATACATGCTCAGAATCAGGAGCGGAAATAAGTAAGTAGCATCCGTCAAAATAAGAGGAAAAATAAACAACAGGAAACGATACCATGCGATTACCATCCAGAAGTTCCCATAGCTCAGAAAACCAAATCTCTATAACAACTGACACTAATCAACAATTCAGCACCACCACCCAATTCCTTATTAAAATCAATGAAATGGGTCCACTCAAAAAGCATTAAGAGTGACCCGAAAGGGAAAAAGTATCAATAGCGATTAAAGTTGAAAAAAAAAGGGAAAGGAGATGGAGTGGAAAGTACTAACCTAATTGCCATTGGGTGATCGTAAAAGGGTCCATTGGAGACATTAATAATTTTTTTCAAGATTTAGCGGGTTTGCTTAAAGGCAAGGGTTTTCTCCATAGTAAAATTTGTGTCCTATTTCTTGCCTATGCCTACTACTGAGTGTATAACTACGGTAGTATATTTTACTTACTGCGACAAGATTTTGGAACGCGGGAAACGCGTGTCTGAATATTTCAGGCATAGAAATTATAAATTGTAATTTGATTGACGAGGGACGACTATCAAGTATGAAGTTCTCACAATCAGTGCCATCCCTATTTGCATGATCTTGACCATTTATCATCTCTTATTATGTTGTGTGTCAGTTGTCTCTCATCAACCAAAAAAATTGTTAATAATTTTCATAAACCACTATAGTTTAGAGTTTAATAACTATAATTTACTTAATTACTATTTGTAGTTATTGTTCAGTTGTTATTAACTTTATATCACTTGTATTCAAACGCGTAATTAATACAATATATGTCAACTGTATTCGTTCGCGCAATAAATACTACTTGTATTCGCTTGCGCAATTGTATTCATTCGTGCGACGAATACAATATATATCAATTGTAACCAATGCGAAATACAATGGTGTATACAAAGGATACAACTTGTATCGAACTAGCTAAACATGCGCTCTAACCAACTGAGCTATGAGAGCTTGTTGCTCTCTTGTTTCAGTTCAAAATAATTAATCTCTTATTTCATGGATTTGTTATAAAATTCAAATATAGCTACAAATGGTAAATTTGCTAAAAGTATAGATACGAATGATAAATACAGTGTAAATAATTTATGTGTCACGCAATTTTCCCTTGGATCTGTTGTTTTCAAGCCAAAAAGTCTATTAAGGATTTCTTGAAGGCTACTTTACCCTAAAATGTCTATAAAAAGAGTACATATTTCCTTCCTATAACAGCTTGTTTAGATGGTTGTTATGTATTATTTCATAATGTGTCGTATTGTATTATATTGTATCGTTTTGATGTATATAATATTTGGATAGATTGTATTGTTTGTCGTTTTTTATGATTCATGCACCAATAATATAAAGAATAAACTTACAATATAATAAAGAAAAAATAAAGTACAAGGTATAATTATTATATAAAAATGTAGGTTGAAGGATAAAATAGGAATATTTAATAATACAGAAGGGCAAGATGAGAGAAAAAAATAAGGTAACGACGCAACCACACCAAATCGGTCGTTCCATAAAGCGACATTTTTCGTCGTTACGTAACGACAGATTTAACGATACGATACGATAAATTTTAAGTAACAATCAAAACAAACATTGTATTTAAAGTAACAATACAACAACTAACGACCATCCAAACAAGTTGTAAGTGCTTGTGATGAGATCAAGACATCAGATATTATATTTCTCAAAGTGGGAGTGATCAAGAGACAGTCTTCTTCAAGACCAACTCGAAATACGGCCGCACGAAGTCCACATAATTCTTTTGCTTGAGAGATATGCCATGTTGGCCCTCGATTGAGGAAACAAGAAGGAACGATAAAGGCAAATTATTTCGCGCGATCGATTCAAAGTACTACCCAACTTTCATAGAGATCAAATACAAGGAGGTAAGCATCATTCTAAAAATATGCTTCTTAGGCCCTGGAATCACGGAGGACAATTTAGATAGAAGATTCAAGGAATTAACACATTATACTTACATTGTTTATCAATAAGATTAATTTTTCATATTTTGTTTGTGATTACAGTTTATTTTTCATATCTAAAAAAATTATTGCAAACCATAGCTAAACGGGCTCTCCCAACTATTAGACTAGCCTTTGGATTCTCCTGTTTGGTCCACAACATATTATAGTGTATTCTTGGAGTAGTAGACTATAGACTATAGACTATGGTCAAATAAAAAGAAAAATTTACCTGGAATACAAACATTAAAGAGTTATTTATAAAAAATGCAATTTTTCTTAAAAAATTACATTACATACAATTTATTATAATATTTTAACTTTTTAATTAAATTATATACAACTTTTTGATATCCCTAAAATATCTTATTTTGGAACTTGAAAATAGGGATTGTGCCAACCAAAATATAATCTCTTAAATTCAAATATCTCTCACCAAATCCATATGTAGATTATTAACTTTCCAAGTTTATATGCTTTTAGTATATTTAATTGATTATTATATGTAACGAACTACATTAATATATTTTGAATAAATATAAAATATTAGTATACTCAAATACCCATATATTATACTAGTATGTTAATATTTTATTAATACATGGCATATTTGTTATTACATATTTAGTATACGGTGAATATGGTATAACGGATTTTTTTATATGTATTATATTCATATACTGGAATAATATAAATAGAATGAGAACGTTACATATATATTTGTATTATATTATTCCTTCTCTATTATAGTATATCAAAATTCTACTTCTTTTATTTTTATTATATTTCTTTTATACATTAAAATAATCTATACAAAAAATAAATATACTTCGAATAATATAATATATTAATATACTTAAATACCCATATGTTAGTATACAACGAGTATGCTATAACAAATTTCATATATACACTATATAGTATATTATGTAGATTATATAAATATAATATTACGAATATGTACATATATATTATATAATACTCCTATATTATACTATAAATTACATCTCTCACCTACTTTTGAATGGTAACCGAAGGAGAATTTTCAGAAAACGATTCATTGCATTTGAATTGTGGTCGATTTGTCTAAGTTTTAGGGATGTAAAGCTTTTTTAGGAAAAAAATAATTTTATTTGAATTGTAGTCAATTTGCTTAGGCTTAAATTTAGGAATTGATAAGTTTCCATTAAATTTTGCTAAAATTCTGGAAGAGAGAAGATCTCATTAACTGCGTAAAATTATAGGGGTGTATAAATAAAACTAACAAATCGCACCAACCCGATAATCCTAGTCAAATCGAGAAAAAAAAATAACTGTGGTTTAGTTTGATTTGGTTTGGTGTTGGAAAAAAAAATCGACCATATTTAATTTGGTTTGGTTTTAACTTAAAAAGTCAAACCGAAACCAAACCAACCCGACATTATATGAATAGAAGTTTTAAATATATTTAATATATAAAAATATTTATGGTAGTGTAGTTTATAAATATTTTAAAGCTTTTTTCATAGTTTTATCTTTTAACGTATTATTTCAAGTTTGGGTTTATAATTTTTGGATGCTCCAATAAGTTTTAAAGTTCATAAATGTTAGTAACTCAAATAAATCATAAGCCAAAATCAAATCAATACTAATATTAATAAAAGACATTCAATTCAATTGTATTATGAATGAAAATAGTGTTGGATATCTATTTTTTAGTTTTTCTATGGTTTAGATAAAGTGTATAACTTATTTTTCTTTTAGTGGCTAGTCATGTAAATAATAGTACTTATTATTCATAATTTTAAATTATGTTTGTTTTCATTGTGACTTATTAATAATATTTATTTTATGCAATTTTATTATTGAATATTCTAGTACAATGCCATGACTCTTCTCATATTTATGTTATTTTATTGAAAAACACATTATATAGTTCTATCTTACTAGGATTAAAGAAATATTTGGAGCACAAATTTTACGTTTTATGCTATGAAGACTTTATGAAAAAAAAAAACCGAAAACCCGAGATTAAAAAATCCGACTTTTATTGGTTTGGTTTGGTATTTAGATTTAATAACCCGATACAATTGGTTTGGTTTGGTAATTAGAAAATCCGAATCAACCCGACCCATGTACACCCCTATAAAATTGTATAAAACGTAAATCAATAAATAGTTGCAAATGATAAAATATACTATCTATAAAGTTAGTAGTTATGTAAACTTTCCAAATAAAAGACTACTTGTTATAAAACAATAAAAGAAGAAGAAAAGTATTTGAGAGAAAAGTAGGAAAAAAAAATTCTTATTGATTTGGGATCAATTACAATAGAATAGAACCCCTCTATTTATAGGAGAAAAGTGACTTAGTCACAGAGTAACAAATTCTAAAATCTCCGTGAAAGATAGATATTCACCTTAAATACAATACTATTTATAACACTACTAGATTAGTATAGTATTTCAATGTTTATACTAGTCACGCAATCTTATAGTAGTAGATTATTAGACGATGGACAAATAAAAAATTACTAGACTAATGTAGTCTTTCAATGTAAATATTAGTAGGAGACTTGCAGTAGGTTTTGTGGTGATTCCGGATGTTGTTTTCAAGTTTTGTATAGCTAACATAGTTTGTTTCATACATATTATAAGTTGGGTTTAGGAGAATGACAAACTAATAAGCTAATTGTAGGAAACTAGAGTTCAAGTGATACACTTTCATTCTAAAAAATCATTATTAAAATACTCCTACACTGAGTCATTTTTTTTAATTTAGGCCACGTTTGTCAAAATCTCAAATCCCCTTGTATTATCTTCCACCTTTTCTTTTTTCTAAAGTTTCCATTTGACTCCTAAACACTTTCATATATTCCTAATCTGCTTAAACGTATCTTTCAACCTTCTAGCACATAAAACTAATTATTCCTCGCTTCCTAAAGCCCCGTAAATTACTATGCATGGTAGGAAGTAATCCGGGCTTACAAAACTAAGTTGGGAATAATTAAGGGTCAAAAGAAAGACCTAAAACCAACACTACTAGAAATATGTCAAAATCCGTCCAAACCATACCGACCGAAATCGGTTGGAAGAGGAAATCGACCGAAATCGATCGAAAAATATCTAGATTGTTCGCAAAAGTTAAATAAAATTTTTTACTAAAAAATACCAGCCACTTTCGGTCGGAAAAAGTGGTCCCACAATAAAGAAACGTTGCTTTGTCTGACACATATAAAAATTTCGACCGATGTCGGTCGAAAATTGGTCAATATTTGACCAGAACTTGGTCAGACTTGCATATTATCTACCAAAAAAAGTTTAATTAAAAAAATTCAAGTATACCGACCGAATTCGGACGAAAATTTTGATTTAATTTTTCCCGCTCAGGCTCAATTATTTTTTCCCCATAATAAAAATAAGTTTTTAAAATTATTATGAATATACCGACCGATTTCGGTCAGTATTAGTGGTCAAAAATAGTCAACCACTTATAAATTATTGTTATTTATAATCTCTCTNAAGACTGATCAATTGACCATCTTTCGTCGAAAAATTACACTGTGTATATAACTAAAATATTACGTTTTAG